AAGGAAGGAAGGAAGGAAGGAAGGAAGGAAGAAGAGAAGGCATGGATTGATTGGGTTTAGACAACAAAATGTACACAGCTGCCGCTGTGCTTAAAATGTCCTTGAGAATGAATGATTGAACTGCTTTCTTTTCTGTGAGCTGCATCTCACCTTAGAGGAGAGCTGGTGGGTTCTCCTCTTTGCTGCCTGCTTTCTTGGCATTTCCCCCTCCCCAGCACATCCTTACAAAATAGGAACATTTTTTTTCCACCGTATTGTATTTTTGTAGGGTAGTGGAACAAGAAGAGTGAAGCAGGTTCTGTTCTCTTTTTGTTTTTGTTTGTTTGTTTGCTTTGGCTTGGGCCTCAACAAGACGTCCCCGAGAACTGAGCAAGAGGAGGAGACAAGCACCTTCCTCATCATCCAATTTTTGGGAGTGGGGTGGGTATGGTATGCCTCCTTTATGGAAGGTTCTGAGGAAATACCAGGTTCCTCTGTCTTCAGAGAATCTGTTCCAGGCTGACGTTCCGGGCTGAGCAACCCTGCATGCCTATCATACAGGGCTACTAGGTGACCTCCTTGTTCACTGCGTTTCTAGGGTTGCAAGTCAGAGGATCTTGTGATATCATGGAATAGGCCTTCATCATGTCCTGGAGACGAGGCAGGCAAGGGTTGGGAGGGAAAACACTGGTTTCACTCTGCTATTGCCTGGGCTCCTGCAACAAAAGGACCCAGGAGTTGCGATGCTGGTGCTCCAATCACTCTCTTGCTTGAAATGGCATGCTGGATCCAAAGCGAAGAGCTGGGGCAAATGACTTGGGAGAAGGCTAGTGGGTTGCTACTCTCGGACCTTTTGGGCCATTTGGAGCAACGCATGTGCCTGCAACATCACACTGAACCAGGAATGGATGGAGATGGGTGCCGAAGCTTTAAAACCACACAAAAATTCAAGCTGTCTTCTAAAGCCTCTTCTCCGGTACAGATGTTCTCACCAAAGAACCCCAAACTGTAAGCTGAGAAAGCCAGAGTACTTCAAAATATGGTTTGAAAAAGCATTGTCCTAAAGCAGTGCTTCCCAACCTTGCGTAGCATTGTCCTAAAGCAGTGCTTCCCAACCATGCATCTCCAGATCTTCTTGAACTACAACTCCCGGAAGCCTACAGCACTAGGTGTGCTGGGCATGATGTTTGAGAGTTGTAGTGCAAGAACATTTCAGGACCCAAGGTTGGGAACCCCTGTCCTAAAGGATTTTCCTCTCTGCTTCCATGTTTGGTGAAGAATAACGGTTTCTTGCCTGTTTGTTACCTGTTGATATCACATCACTCTTCACCCTTTTAACCAACATCCTGTGATCCTATTGTCTGATTTGTGTTCCCTCTTCCCGAGTGCTCTTTTGTTTATTTTGTAGCTTTAACATGCAGAAGCTTGCTTCTCCTCCCTCTAAGGGTCTTACCCACTTCCACAGGCAATCATTATAGGTTCTTCTTCTCATTTGTCAAGGTAGCTTTAACATGCAGAAGCTTGCTTCTCTTCCCTCTAAGGGTCTTATCCACCTCCACAGGCAATCATTATGAGTTCTTCTTCTCCTTTGTCAAGATACAGTGTTCCCTCGCTTGACGGTGTTAATTCGTTCCAGCAAAATCACTGTAGAGCGAAAACATCGTCAAGCGAAATAAAAAACCCATTGAAACGCACTGAAAACCATTCAATGCGTTCCAATGGGCTGAATACCTGCTTGTCCAGCGAAGATCCTCCATACGGCGTCCATTTGCGGTGCCTGTAAAGCGAGGAATCCATCCTAGAAAACAGCGGGGGGCCATTTTCTTCAGCCGGTGGCCATTTTACAACCGGATGATCAGCTGTTTGCTGATCGTCGTAAAGCAAAAATCGGTTCCCAAAGCAGGGAACCAATCATTGTTAAATGAAAAAAAAAAAACCATTTAAAACATTGTTTTGCAATCACTTTTGCTATTGCAAAAACCTAATCGTACAGCGATTTCGTCGTAGAGTGGGGCAATCGTTAAGCGAGGCACGACTGTACCTGGTGGTGCTCATTCCTATTGCTGCTGATGGTTTCTGTTCTGTAGAAACAGCTCTGTTAGGTGGAAGTGTCCTCTAGGGTCCCAGGTGCACGGGAGAGTTTTCAGGTAAATCGGCCAACGCTGCTTCGTTGTGTCGGTGTTTTCAGTAACCGTTGCCTTCAGCAGGGCCTGGCATGGGGCCAGAAGGAATGAAATCATCTCTTGGACGCCGTGTTGACCAAAGCTGCTGCACAGGTGAATTTAGCTGAAGGCAAAAGTCAGCTCTGTAGTTAATTTGGTAGTCCTGCTGGTGGCATATGAGTCAGCCTAGACTCCCCCTGTGTGGCTGTTAGCCGAGCTGGCATTGTGCCGTGTGGAGAGGGCCACCAGTAATAAATATTTGGATTTGCTGTGACACATAATCAGAGCCTGTAGCAGGCAAATACCGAGGGGCAGCAAGATGGCAGGTTGGAAACATATAATTTAGGATTGTTATTTTACCGGTAGGGACCTTCCATAATTTCATTAGCCATGCTCCTTTCATTAGAAAGGTCCGTGCCAAGGTTTCAAATGGCAATCAGAAACCTGATTTTATTCACCTCCCACAACTCTTTTGCCCTTTTCCTAGAACAGCGTGGAGTTGTTTGGTGCACAAAAGGGGGCAGGAGTATGGCTGTCTATGCTTCATGAGTGAAGAAAGGCCACAGATTAGAGTATTGGTTGCGGAATTCGACCTCTTACACAACCCAGCTTTCATTTCAGAAACAATCAGGCTCCCGAAACAAATAACACAAGTTGAAAAGAGTGTGGGCCGCACCGGTTGAGATTGCAAGAACCAAAACAAACATGTTTGGAGGTCAGATAGTGTGTGTGTGTGCGCGCGCGGGGGTCTAGGACTCTCTTGCAGTTTGCAAGACCGGAATGTGAAAATGGAGAGCAAACATGCAAATATGCTGGATTTAATAAGACCAAGGAATTCAACATTTCCTAGCAGGAAATTTGGGTTACACTGGTACCTCATTATTGTATATGTGTGTTCTTTTTCTTTCTTTCTTTCTTTCTTTCTTTCTTTCTTTCAAAGCAGAGTGGTAGATGTCCCTGGGCCCTCTTCCCAAGCAGTTTTGTTGGTTTTATTAAAATAATATCTTTATATTCTCTTTCTACCTCTCTCTCTCTCTCTCTCTATCTCTCTTGCCCCCCCTCTCTCCTCCATTCCGCCTTTATTTCCTTCCTTCCTTCCTTCCTTCTTTCTTTCTTTCTTTCTTTCTATCTTTCTTTCTTTCTTTCTTTCTATCTTTCTTTCTTTCTTTCTTTCTATCTTTCTTTCTTTCTTTCTTTCTATCTTTCTTTCTTTCTTTCTTTCTATCTTTCTTTCTTTCTTTCTTTCTATCTTTCTTTCTTTCTTTCTTTCTATCTTTCTTTCTTTCTTTCTTTCTATCTTTCTTTCTTTCTTTCTTTCTTTGCCTCCCTCCAAAGAACCCACCCCTTGGATTGTCTCTCTTCTATCTTACCAGGATGAAGCGGGCACAGTTTGGACCTCATGACTGGCTCTCTCTTCCAGTGCCAGCTGGCCCCACTTGGCTGCTCATGGAGAATCTAGAACCAGAGACTGCCTACCAGTTCAGTGTCTTGGCCCAGAACAAGCTGGGCACAAGCTCCTTCAGTGAGGTAGTCACTGTGAATACTTTAGGTGAGCTGTGTTAACGTGGGCCTTGAACATCCAGGGTTGCGTCAACAAATATGGCAAATCTGCTATTCTTTTTTTTTAAATCTTTTTCTCCTCTTCCACATTGTTAAACATGGAATTTGTCTTTTCTCTAGTGAGTTCATCATGCACTTCAATATATGCAAGCCTTTGCTGAGTAACCCAGCTTTATGATGTGAACTTTAACAGTAACAATGAGGAAAGGAGAACAGTTATATCGTTGTCTCATGAAAGGACAAATGGCTTGCAGTATTTCTGGGCCAGTCTAAGACAGAAACGTCATTGAACAGAATAGCAGAACTCTATTGATTCCATTTTTGCAGAAAACGCTCTCTTGAGCCATTTTCTTACAAATGGAGCCTCAGTTCATTTAAAGACGAGAGAAGTGCGAGGAAGAGAAGCAGGACCTCTCAGTCTAAATTTATGTCCAGAAATTCTAATTTATTTGCATGTTGCAAATTAAAGACTTTGCAGGATGTCCACTGTGGAGACTGCTTCAGCAGGGGGGTGGGGGGGGGAAGGTCAGAAGTAGTAATTTGAATGAAGTCTTACCACTAGCATCATTTAGTATTTCTGATGTTGGCTGCTGTTGGTGAATCTGCTCTGGGTTTTAGTCAGAACTTTACCAGAAGTAAATGCAGTGCTGGAACCCTGTCCCCAGGCAACTCAGGATAAATATTAACTGCCCTTAAATTGCATTGCAGGTAACAGTTGTTAAAGGTATATTCAAAGCTTAACCTTATAAGTAAAACTTGTGCCTTGTTGCTTTGAATTTTGTTTTGGTGCCGAATTTGTTTACCGTTTTTAGTATGATATTTCTTTGGTTCTTTTTTTTAACATTTGCATGCCTCCTGTTTGCAGCTTTTTAATATTCTTTTAATGATGTGAGCTGCCTGGGGTCCTTTTTAAAGGAGAAAGACGGAGTAAAGATGTTTTTTTTTTAACATTTGCATGCCTCCTGTTTGTAGTTTTTTTAATATTCTTTTAATGATGTAAGCTGCCAGGGGTCCTTTTTAAAGGAGAAAGACAGAGTAAAGATATTGTTGATAAAACTGGACAACATTTAAAAACTGGGTGGGAGTTCTAAGCAAGAAGGGATAAATAAAGCCAAAAGGGTATAGCCAGTTAAAGAAGTGATGGCCAGCCTCTTGGGCCAACACGTCATGCATAAAGTGTAAAGCGTATTATTGCTGCTCAATTTATTTATTTATTTATTTATTTGATTTATATCCCGCCCATCTGGTATATCATCTGTTATATCAAGTACTTACACTGTCTGAACCCATCTCCAGATAGCTCTCCTTGCATAGGTTTTTTTAAGTGTTTGCTTTTCCTCTCTCCCCGCTCAACCCTTTTGTTGCCATCAGCATTCCCTGTCACAACTCCGGAACCCCTGGTGCTGGTTACTCCACCGAGGTGCCTCACAGCCAATCGGACGCAGCAAGGAGTTCTGTTGTCATGGCTTCCTCCAGCCAATCATAGCTTTCCCATTGACCGTTACATCATGGAGTTTCGGATAGGAGAAAGATGGGAGATTTTGGATGATGCCATCCTGGGGAGCGACAATGAATTTTTTGCCAAGGATTTGACTCAGGTAAAAGGACGTTGGACTCATTTTACAGTACAGTGACCAGAATCCTAGTGGGATTGTGCTCTGGATGGCATAAATCGTGGCAGCGAATGGCAGTGAATTCACAATTCTGACTTACAGTACAGCAGCCTTTTAATTTCCAGGTATCGAAGTGGTTTGCTATTCTTTTCTTCTGGAGGATGCCCTAGGACTGTGCAATTTGCCCAAGGCTACACAGGTTGGCTGTCCTTGCAAGAGGCACAGTGGAAATAAAAAACTCTATCTATCTCACTGATTTATTCATCCAGCTAGATAAAGGTTCCCCTTGACATTAAGTCCAGTCATGTCCAACTCTAGAGTGTAGTGCTCATCCCCGTCTCCAAGCAATAGTGCCAGCATTTGTCCATAGATCATTTCTGTGGTCACGTGGCCAGTGCGACTAGACACAGAATGCCATTACCTTCCCACCATGGTGGTACCTATTTATCTACTCGCATTTACATGCTTTTGAACTGCTAGGTTGGCAGGAGCTGGGACGGAGCCCACTCCGTCATGTGGATTCAATCTTACAATGGCTGATCTTCTGACCTTGCAGCACAGAGGCTTCTGCGGTTTAACCTGCAGGGCCACCACGTCCCTATTCATCCAGCTAGTCTTCCCTAAACCTGGATCCTCAAAGGCAGCTGGATTGCAACCACCATAGTTTCCAGCCATAATAGGCAACAGTTGAGGTGATAGGGTTTTTTTTTAGTCCAACAACATCTAGGCCACTCAAGGTAGGGAAAGACTGTGCCCTAGCACTCCACGTGGTTTCTTGGATGACAAATCAGTAATTGTAGATGAACTTGCCTGGATAATTACACCCATCTTTCCGTACAACACGCAGCGAAGCGAAAACAAAGTGTCCTGCTTATATACCTCCCCATCGTGCTTAAAGCACTCCGGGTGGTGTACAATTATGCAGGCTGCACATTGGCCCCCCTCACCCCCCCCCATTGAGCTGAGTACTCAATTGATCGGCCTCGGAAGGATGGAAGGCCGAGTCAGCCTTGAGCCAGCTACTGAGGATTGAACCCAGGTTGAGAGCAGAGTTTTGGATGCAGTTCTGCGATTTAACCACTGCGCTACAATCATTGAGGCAATCACTGGGCAAGGTTGGGAGTGTTCTATGGTGAATTCTGTGGATATAGATGGAATCTGACACATTTGCTTTGCATGCCGTAGAAATTGACTATGCATCTGGGGACATGGCAGCAGCTGTAGCATCCTGGGAATTGTAACCCCCCAAATATAACTTTTTCTGGACTATAATTGTTTATTTACAAGCCAGCCTGTGGAAGAACAGGGCCCTGAAGGTGGATGATGATGAAGTATGTGCCCATTATTTTGATAAGAGGGACTGACGTGCTGGCATACTTCAAAAATTCTCATCTAAATTTCTCCCCAGGTGATGGGGCTTCTAATGACTTGGTCTTCTTTCCAAAGCATTCATAATCCTCTGTTGTTCCATTTAAAAAAACGAAAACAGCACACCGCATGTTGTGCAGAATTGCATTCTTTATGACTCTCATCGCTAAATCTGCGTCATTAACGTGCTTCAATTTAAAAACTAAATAAATTAAAATCCTGATGTCCTTTTTGTATATCAAGGGTCTTATTGTGTGGTGGTCCCTCAGTGTGCATATGTGTTTCAGCAAATGCCATGCAGAAAGGATTTTGATGCCATCTTGTATTAAAATCACATGAATATTGCTTTCATTGCTGCCATGCAGAAAGGATTTTGATGCCATCTGGTATTAAAATCACATGAATATTGCTTTCGTTGCAGTGTTTTTATCAGAGGGGAGTGTGACTTGGCAAAAGGAAAATTCTGTTTATCCTGCCCAAGACTCTAGATGTGACGACATACCATTTCTGATGGTGTCTGCACCATCAAAACAGAGTAACTTGCAAACCAGCATCCTTTATAAAGAAAGGAATCTGGAAATAATATGGGATGCCATAGTATTAATATTATGCATTGTCTTCAAGGCAATTTTTTTTTTGGGAGAACTCTTGGGAATGAAACTATTATGCATTGTCTTCAAGGCAATTTTTTGGGGGGAGAACTCTTGGGAGTGAAACAAAACAGAATTGCTGGATAGCTCAGTGGTTTAGATTTGTGGCTGTGGAGCCAGAGGTTGGAAGTTCAATTCCCCCACTGTGTTTCCCTGACAGGGGCTGGACTGGATGACCCTTAGGGTCCCTTCCAGCTCTGCAGTTCTGTGATTATTATAACATACTGTACGCTCAGCCCTTGTATTCCTGCAATGAGTAGGGGGTTGGACTCAATGGCCTTATAGGCCCCTTCCAACTTCACGATTCTATGATTCATCACATCTCTTATCTAAAAAGGAAACACAAAATAGAACCTTCAAATTCAACAGTTTCCAACCATTTGGCATCAAGACATCAAGTGGTGGATGGTTAAGATGTGTATGTTCTGCTAGGCTTTTGGTTTAGATTTCTACCTGCTGAGTGGGTGATTTAATGCATCCTGTTCTCTTTTATGATGAGGGCTGTTTCGGTACGTGATGTATTTTTAATGTTAGGAGCTGCCTGACAAGCCCTTTTGCGGGCCAAAAGGCTGTGTGTAGATAATGGTGCAAGTAAACAACAACAAAAATGAAGTGTTTGGTAATCAAGTGATGCGCATGCTAGTGAAGAACACTCTCTGGGGAAGTCACTAAGTGGTTGCGTGGTGGAATGCATATTGTTGCAGCTGATCATAGAATGGAGACCAGATATAATATAATTTACTCACTTGACCACAAATGGGGCCATATGAGGATGGTACTTGCAAAGGCTGGTAATCTCCTTCGGTATATGCAAAGGGATTCTCTGCCCTCATAGGGAAAGGATGATATGTCTAAACAGACAGTGGGTTCATCTGCTTATCATGATTGGAGATGACCTTTTTGTCCCCACCACCACCATGGGGATATTAGCATTAGTGGAAACTGGTCGTAATTAACGATGTGCATGTTTTACGCCATAGGACACCTGGTATGAATTCCGGGTTCTGGCTGTCATGCAAGACCTCATCAGCGAACCCAGCAACATCGCTGGTGTATCCAGCACAGGTAAAGAAATGTGTTTTTTCCCACTCTCCTCGGCTTTTTAACCAAGGGACTTCCAAAGGCAAGCTGCTAAGGAGGCCAGCTGTATAGCAGGTTCCATGCTTTTATGAGACATGGGTATCTAAAGAAGCAGGGCCCTCTTGGTTATGGCTTCAGAAGGCTCCCCCAAACCATGAGCAGAGTGTTTGTTGTTTTCAATGGAATCTTCTCAGACAGAGGTTTATTCTGTCACGTATCTAAAATAAAGAACGTTTTGTTCTTGTCTGCTTGATTTGGGCAGTTCTACCCTTATTGATATATTTGTCAGTGGATTTGAGGTGTGGGACTGGGTAGGGATTTTTTAAACACATGCTTCCTTGTGAAATCTATTCTGAAATGTGGTTAATATACTGTATAGAGATGTTGACAGAGGCTTAAGAAACATTGCATATTAAACCTGAGATGGCATTTGAACTGAAGGTTTGCTGACCCATGAAACCGAAAATACCATATTTTTTCCGTGTATAAGACTATACTTTTGTCTAAAATCTTTAGAATAAAAATTGAGGGTCGTCTTATACACAGAAGTAAGCTGAGGAGAGAACAAAAACAAATGGAAGGGAAAGCAGGGATCAAAATGATCCTGCAGGGCTTTGATCCCTTTTCCCCTACACTTGCTAAGTCCCACTTAGATTTCTTATTTTTGGGTTAGAAAAGGGGAGGTCTTATACATGGGGGCGTCTTATACACAGAAAAATATGGTAAATGAGTAACATGCCAATAACTCATCCCACAGCAATAAGTCAGAGCCATTCTGTACCTGATGCAGGTGGGGAGATAGAATTCTGGACTGTACCATTGTGTTGGGGAGGGGATACTGGAATGCTCACCAGCAGGAAGATTTTGCTGCATGTCATAAAGTAGCACATGAAGGGAGGGCTGAGCTAATCATGTTCTAATCTACCGCATGCAAGAAAGGATTTATTTTTGGTTTACTTGTTTTCACAGGAGGGTGCGTTCAAATACATAATTCCGCCATGCAGTCTAATGTGGTGCAGTCCAGAATTCGACATCTCATTGTCAAAGCTTAGACATGTTTCTTTAAAAGAAAAGAGCTGCAACATAGACATCTCATTGTCAAAGCTTAGACATGTTTCTTTAAAAAAAAAAAAAAGAGCTGCAACATCTAACAAAGGCATTTGGGGAGTTGTAGTTCAGCATTTATTCAGGCTTTGCTCTTACGTCATAATATTTAACAGAGTTCTTCTCTTATCCTCTCCTGGCCTCTAGTGGTGTTTCTTTATCTATTCCTGATCTGTGTGCCACTGTCTGCTATGTCAAAGCTTAGACATGTTTCTTTAAAAAAAAAAAAAAGAGCTGCAACATCTAACAAAGGCATTTGGGGAGTTGTAGTTCAGCATTTATTCAGGCTTTGCTCTTACGTCATAATATTTAACAGAGTTCTTCTCTTATCCTCTCCTGGCCTCTAGTGGTGTTTCTTTATCTATTCCTGATCTGTGTGCCACTGTCTGCTAATTGAAGTGGTACCACTCTTTCCCACAAGATAATTGAAAAAGGTGGTGTGGATGTTCATTGCATGTATTCCCACACATTTAAGCTGTTGCATAATTATCATATATTAATTTTTTGCCCATGTTATTTCATTTGCATCTGACCTTTCTCTCCCTCCCTCCCTTCCTCTCTGTCTCTAAAACCTACAGTGTAATTTCAGAATGTTATCCCTGCCCATTGGTTTTCTCATTCTCTTTCTCAATTTGGCCTCTCTTTCTCTTAAAATCTCTAAGACAGAGGGATAAATGGTGGGTGCATGTAATGATCTTATTTACTGATTTGATTTGATTTAATTTATATGCCACCTTTTTCCCGATATAGGACCCAAGGCAGCTCACATCAATTAAAATCATGCAATAATCAAAAGTTCAAAATGCCGTAAGAAGTGATATGTTAAAAAACAATTAAATATTGGTCAGGATTAAAAACAATTTTGAAAACATTTAAAAAAATTAAAGAGAGGAACTTGGCTCCGTCCGGTTTAGATTCCTCAAAAGAAAGCTAAAGATTTGTGGAGAAGGAATTAAGTGCTTGATTTTGTGTCTATGCACGCCCTTGTCAGAGGTCCGCTCTGTAAGTCTGATGGAATGGACGGGACTTCATGAAAAGTTGAGCAAAAGTCAGTGCCCACATTATCTACCCTTCTTGATGCTATAAAATAGTTTGTTCGGGTTTTGCTTCTTTCTGTGGATTGTCTGGGGATATATATTTCACACAGGGACATGTCTGAAATTGTGAATGTTACCTCAAATCCTACAGAGTAAGAGCAGCATGGTAACACCCTCACTTTACACACAAAACCGGCTCAGATAAGGATGATGGAAGTCCCATGAAAGGCGCGTCCTTTGTTTATTTTGGGCTCAAGGTGCAGCATCCTGTCAGCCATTTTGTGGTTGGAAAAGGAGTGCCCGGAGCCGCATCCTTACAAGACCTCCCCCTTTTATGGGGTCTCTTCCAGATGTATTTCCGCAGCCAGACCTGACGGACGAAGGTTTGGCCCGGCCTGTGCTGGCAGGGATCGTTGCCACCATCTGCTTCCTCGCGGCGGCCATCCTGTTCAGCACGCTGGCGGCCTGCTTTGTCAACAAGCAACGCAAGCGGAAGCTGAAGCGCAAAAAAGGTGAGCTGTGCGTGGCAGGTTTTGATGGTCAACCCTTGGGAGCTCAAGAGGAATTGACATTCTAAGGTGTGGTAGAAATGGTTCTTCTAAAAAGAGAGAGAGAAATCTATTTCATTGCCAAGCAAGAAGGTATATGTTCAAATCATTGCTTTACTTACACACACACACACACACACACACACACACACACACACACACACACACTGTGGTGCCCAACCTTGGATCTCCACATGTTCTTGGACTACAGCTCCCAGAAATCGTGGGCAGTATGGCCTAATGGTGGAAGTCCCTGGGATTTTTTTGTCCAATAGCATCTGGGGACCTAAGGTCGGGAACATCTGGTGTAGATGGTGTAGTCGGCATCTTTATTTAGCTAGCTTTGTTTTTAAAAACTGCAGCCAATAAATTCCGTGGTTTCCCCACATCGTTGGCCATTGTCAGTACAACGAAAGACGACTGGAGCAGATTTTTCAGTCTTTTTCAAAGATTTCTTCCAACGTATAGTTTCCAAGAATCATCGTCTGAAATATCAGTGACTTTCTGAAATCACGGAGGAACTGAACTTGCAAAACGCTCTTGTTCTCAGTCTGTAGATGAGGGGTAAATCCTGTTTCAGAAGCTGAGCATGCCAAGCTAATGCAGTGGACGTGCATCACTGGATGCTCACCAATGCCACTGTCCATGAAAACACTGAATCATCCTCTCACAAGGATGCAATATTAAGGCTAGCCTTTTCTCTGACATATTAGCTCTATCTGTGCATGAAATGTGGTCATGTGAGGCAACGTTCAGTTTTATGATCTCTTCTTCCCACCACAAGTCCAATGGGAGTTGAGAATTTTTTTTTCATTCACTAGACAGAGACATGGTGGCGTCTGAAATATCAGTGACTTTCTGAAATCACGGAGGAACTGAACTTGCAAAACGCTCTTGTTCTCAGTCTGTAGATGAGGGGTAAATCCTGTTTCAGAAGCTGAGCATGCCAAGCTAATGCAGTGGACGTGCATCACTGGATGCTCACCAATGCCACTGTCCATGAAAACACTGAATCATCCTCTCACAAGGATGCAATATTAAGGCTAGCCTTTTCTCTGACATATTAGCTCTATCTGTGCATGAAATGTGGTCATGTGAGGCAACGTTCAGTTTTATGATCTCTTCTTCCCACCACAAGTCCAATGGGAGTTGAGAAGTTTTTTTTCATTCACTAGAATGAGGAGATGCCAGGAAAAAAAAGTCTGGAAATGAATTTTGTGAAACTGCTGCGGTAACCAAACATGGTTCTAACTGTGTTGTTGGAAGTTGCACTAAACATGGTGCCTTGTTTTAAGTGGCCCTGGAATCCCTTTATTAATTTATTCCTCTTCCCTTTTTAAAATTCTTTCCCCAGACCCTCCTCTCTCCATCACCCACTGCAGGAAGAGTCTGGAGTCACCGTAAGTATTTTTGGTATTCTAGATGTCACCCACGCTGTGATTTATTAGCGGACCGTTCCCCCAAAGGATAAGGCTGATGAGAAACGAGAACGATCTGACTTCAGCTTGCCATTTCAGATGTTCCTCAATGGTTGACTTTCTGGGGCTGCAGGTGATGCTGCGGTGTGCCTGACATAATTCCTCACATAAACACAACTCCCTGTATGTGGAAAACTAGCATTATAGAAAGAGATAGATTGCAGTGCTAGCCAGCACATTGCGAAGAATTTGTTTGTAATCTTATGCACACATATAGGCTCGGGGTGTTAGTCTAGAGCCAATTTGTGTCCTGTGCTAATTGTTTGTTTCATATCCGTGCTACAGACAGCACAGGGATAAAGCGCGCACCTTCTACGCAGAAAGCTCCAGATTGTCTATGGCATTTCCATCCAAAGTTAGTCAAAGAGAGCATTGTGGTAGACCCATAGTCCCTTTTGTGTGTCAAGAAGACTCTGAGGACCAAGGAAGAATACCGTATGGTAACTAACTAGATTGAGTCTCAGACATGGTTAGAATTACCCCTTCTCCTCTTCATATAATAATCATCGTGTGTCGTCAAGTCAAGTCCGACTTACGGCGACCCTTTACAGAATCGTCTAGGTAGAGAATACTCAGAAGGAGTTGACCATTTCCTCCTTCTGGACCCCAGGGTGACCCACCCTGACATTGTGCAGCTTGCCCAAGGCTGCACAGGCTGGCTTTACTCATAGAAGGCACCATGGGGGAATCAAGCTCCTACTTCTGGCTCTGCAGCCAGATGCCTAAATCTCTGAGTTAAGCAGCCGGTATTTTTCATCGTTTTCTAATGTTTTCAGACTCATCCATTTTTTGACTGTTTGTGACAAACAAGAGGAGGCATAATGCCCCAGTTCTTTTCGCTCTCCCTTGAACCTGGGTAGTCTGTGTTTCTTCCAGTGGCACCAAGCAAATCTCTGAGACAATTCTCTCCCCCCTTCTCTGTCTTTTCCTCTCCATCTCCCCTCCACTTCCCAATTCCTACAAACACCCCCCCCTCAGGTTATCCTCTGGTAAGGTGAGTCCCGAGAGCATCCGCACACTGCGGCCTCCTTCCGAATCCTCCGACGACCAAGGGCCACCGGGCAAACGGATGCTGAGCCCCACCAAGGAGAAAGAGCTCTCCCTCTACAAGAAGACCAAGCGGGCCATCAGCAGCAAGAAGTACAGCGTCTCCAAGGCGGAGGCCGAAGCCGAGGCCACCACTCCCATCGAACTCATTAGCCGTGGGCCGGATGGCCGCTTCGTCATGGATCCTTCCGAGATGGAGCCCTCTCTCAAGACCCGGCGGATCGAGGGCTTCCCCTTTGTGGAGGAGACCGACATGTACCCGGAGTTCCGTCAGTCGGACGAAGAAAACGACGACCCTGTGATGCCTGCCTCCGTGACAGCCCTCAAGTCCCAGTTGACTCCTCTTTCCTCCAGCCAGGAGTCTTACCTTCAGCCACCAGCATACAGCCCTCGATTCCACCGGGGCCTGGAGGGGGCAGGTGTCCTGGAAAGCCGCCTCCAAGCCACGGGCCAAGCCAGGCCTCCGCCCCCTAGGCCGTTCCACCATGGCCCGTATTATGGCTACCTCAGCAGCGGCAGCCCTGGGGAGATGGACCCTCCGCCCTTCTACATGCCAGAGGTCAGCCCTCTCAGTTCGGTCATGTCCTCCCCTCCTCTGCACCCCGAGGGGCCTTTTGGCCACCCCACCATCCCTGAGGAGAACGGAGAGAATGCTTCCAACAGCACCCTGCCCCTGACCCAGACACCCACAGGGGGCCGGTCCCCTGAGCCGTGGGGCAGGTCCGAGTTCCCTTTCAGCGGCCTGGAGTCTTCGCCCATCATGTTCCCTCACCAGCTCCACCCGTGCGAAATGGCGGAGAGCCTGCAGCCCAAGGCCAGTCTTCCAAGGGGGCCGCCACCTTCCTCTCTTCAGGTCCCCGCCTCGTACCCGGGCATCCTGGCCCTGGAGGCGGCCAAGAGTTGGACGGGCAAGTCGCCCAGCAGGAGCCAACCTTCCGTGCCCGCCGCCGCCGCCGCCAAATGGCAGGACAAACCTATGCAAACCCTGGTGGGTCAAGGGCAGCTGCGACACACCAGCCAAGGCATGGGCATACCTGTGTTGCCTTACCACGGGCCGTCCGAGTCAGTCAGCCACAGCGGCACAAGCACATTCGGGCTGGACACCAGGTGGTACGACCCCCAACCGAGACCTCGGCCCAGCCCTCGGCAAGCCAGGAGGGCCGAGCCCAGTTTACATCAGGTGGTGCTACAACCTTCGCGGCTTTCTCCCCTGACCCAAAGCCCCCTCAGCTCCCGTACCAGCTCCCCGGAGCTGACGGCACGTGCCAGGCCACGGCCGGGCCTCATCCAGCAGGCGGAGATGTCCGAGATCACCCTTCAGCCTCCGGCGGCTGTTAGCTTCTCCCGCAAGTCGACGCCATCGACGGGGTCTCCGGCCCAGAGCAGCCGGGGAGGGAGTCCGAGTTTCCGTCCGGCCATGGCCTTCACCTCTTTGGCCACGTCTGGGTACCCTCCCTCTCAGTGCCCCTCCCTGCCGGTGGAGCCCATGGACGTCTTTGGACCAATCCCCTCGCCGAGGAGGGCTGGAGAGGAGATCCTTCAGCCAGAGCCGACACCGACGACCAGCTCGGGGTAAGCGACAAGGTGTCTGTCAACGCTTGTTTTTTCCCCTTTTACCGAAAGCCCTTCTTTCCCTCCCAGCCTCACCTGCTCCCACCCCTTCCCATAAGCTCTTCCCCTGCCACCATCCAACCAATTCTTAGGCACACTGCAGTATTCTTTTTGGAGACCATTTCCAGCTGGCATTTCTAAGATACCAATCTGTGCCACCCCCCACCCCGCCAGCCCCTAATCCACGATGCCTTGTCAGTCACTGCTCAGCTGAGTTGCTTAGATCAGGAGAGGGCAACACGGTTGGGATGGCTAGTCTTTCTGTGTTATTTAGACGAAGGGCGCTTGGCTTCATCCCTCTCAAGAACGAAACATCCAGGCTGGCTTTTGGTTTCCAAGTTGGGAGGAAGCAAAAGGTCCCCACTGTAAAAGAGAGGGAGGATAAAAATTTAAATGCAAGTGGAGGTGCCTTTTTTGGGGGTGGTGGAGATTTTTGTCCTGGGGGAATGAGTCCAAGAAATTACCAATATTTTCCTCTTCTAGTTCCTGGCTGTTTACTTTCCTGAGACATTAAGGCCTTGGGGCTGCTCTTTGCCTTCTTCACGCCCTTTTCTCCCCCCGAGAGGGTTTGTCATCCGCCATGACTGAAACGTGGCCGCACACGCCGCCTTTGTCCACATGATCTCCAAAAGGGGTGCTGCAGCCTTTCCCCCCCAAAAAAACAAAAGACTCTGGCAAGGCGAGAGACCAAGACTTTAGCCACATGCAACGACTTGTAAGGAGAGGACCCCAAAACAAAATCCACCCTAAACACACAGAAGTCCAAATCAGGAAGCGGCCAGCGTTCTCGGATCCTGTCCATGCAAAAGGATTACAGCTGGGCCTATTTCTCCAGCATCTGGTTTTTCCCAGGTATCAGGGTTGCACCAGGCAAAGTGTGTCTTTCTTTCTGTCTCTTCCTTCTTTCCTGCACACCTCTCGTCTTTCACGGCACCTGTAGGCACCTGCTCTCCTGCCATCCGTTTGTCTTTGTTGAAAAAAAACAAACCCACAAACCTTCTTGTATTCTTATTTGTGTCCTCCATGTGGTAGAATTTGAACCCCATGCCCCTTTGGACCCTGGCCTTGTGGAAGTGGATAGCTCCTCGTTCGATATAGATCCGTTTGGTTTGGGAGAGAACCCCACAGCCAGCGAGAAGCAAGGGTGGGGTTTTGCAAGAAGTGGCCAGCCTGGTGGGTGGGTTGCTGCTGCTAGCGTTACCGTGGAGCAAAACCAGGACATCCATCCCAAGTGCAGCCACTCTGGCTTTTACCCCCCTTGCATTTCACCTACACCCTTTGGTACCTGGAAGCTCCTAACTCTTTAGAAACCCATTCAGCCTGATTAGCAGTTGCTGCTTTCCAGGGAGTGGGCCCATTGGACAGGAGAGCTGTATTTCCACTAAAGCGTTGAGGTGGCTGTCGCTACTCCCAACACACAATCAAACCGGCTTCGCTTATTTGGATAGAAAACTTAGCAAATCTGGAACATATTCAGAAAGCTCCTGTCTGGGGGGAAACTTAGGAATCTCCAAAGGGCACGTCTACACTACAAACACAGTCTCTGATTCCATGTTGCTTTAATTGTCATGGCTTTCCCTAAGGAATCGTGGGAACTGTAGTGTTTTTCTTCTTCTGAGGGTCGTATCTTGACCTGTTCCCTTCAGACAAGCCCACAGGGTAACAACCCTTTTCCTGACAGTTACGTAACAATAAAGGAAATAATTGCAAATTTGCTATATTTTAATGATATCTAATTAGTTTATCACCTGGTTAAATTAATGAGGCTGGCCCGGCCCTCCTTATGGAATTACAAATTCCAGGGTTCCCATAGAAGAGGAGCCGACTCTCGGACCTCTTTAAATCTGTAGTGCAGACATGCTTTCTGTGATAGTACCCTGTTGTCTGTGCTTTGAAGTCATGCCTCCTCTACGCTTTCATCATCCTTTTCTTTGTTCTTCCGTTTCTTTCCCCCCCTGGTATTGTTTGTTTCTTTGTGTTTTGTTTACTTTCCCCTTCACTCTTCCTTTTGGGTTTACTTTTTTCCTTTTTGACTTGCTGATGTCTTGTGGAGCTTGGCTCCTTGCGGGTGTTGATAACTGCTTTGTTTTTGATTAATCTCAGCTATCTGGGCAGTGTTGTCAAGACAAGCTACTCCTCAGCTCAATAGGTAAGGGTGATCAATGTCTGGAAGGATGGTGCTGGGGCTGTGGGGTGCGGGCAGGGAATGGGGCATGGGAAGGGATGCCAATGGGGCTCTTTTTCAGTAACTTTTTTTTCCTTTAAAGGGGAATAAGGAATTGCAAAACCCAGGACAAACATTTGCCTACTTAGTCTCTGTGGCTTTTGGGTTTCCCCATTTTGCACTCCCGATCTCTTTCGTTCATGCAGAACTGAATCTCGTTAGAGAAACACATGAGATTTTTCTTGGTGCAGTTCCATTTCAGAAGATGTGTGTTAAGATGGTGTAGCTTTCTGTTTGAATTTGGAAATTAACTGTCTTGCATACTTAACTATTAAGACTTTAAGTGCACCGAGAGCAGTTTGGAAAATAACATAAGAAATTCTTAGTGTTTATTCTTCTACAGTGTTTACATGATAATGAGTGGGAATGACTGCTGATAAGAACACAACATGAAGCATCCTGGATCAGACCTCAGCCTATCTGTTGCATTCACACAATGGCCAACTGGTTCCCTAAGGGAAAGCCATCAGCAGAACTTAAGGGTGCAACATCATCCTCTGTTTCATATGCTACAATCCCTGATATACAGAGGTACAATACCTTTGATGCAAGAGGTGAGGTGTGGCCACCTGCACTAGTAGCTGTTGATGGGTTTCACTTCTATGAATTTGTCTAATCCCCTTTTAAAGTTGGCAACCATCACTATACTTTGTGGTGGTGAATTCCACAATTTACCCATGTGTTGCAAAAGAGAAGAAGCACTTTTTTAAAAATCCACCCTGAATTACTTACTCCTCATCTTGGTAGTTCTGGTATAATGGGAAAACAGAAGAACATCTTCCTATCACCTCCTTCCATACCACACCTTATTTTATACATCTCTCATGTGTTCGCTTAGTTTGCTTTTTTGCCCTAAACCAAACAGCCCACAGAGGTAGAGGAGCTATTAGTAGTAAAAATACAACTGGGAAGGAATTATTGAACTTCCTCTTTTTGTACCCATGAGAAGGATGTCCCCATCAAAATCACTCCCCAAAACTTTGGAGGGAAAAAAAGATGTTGTGGCTGCTTATACCATTAACATAATGGAAATCCTGTTGGGTGGCATGCATCTGTGTGATGAGAGTGACATAATTCGTTGTGTCAGATCACCACTGATTACAGATTTCATTTTGTGAAGCACAGGTCTGGGGTGTATGCAACTTTGTCGTATTGTGTATAAGACATATATATCCCCAAATCTTTAATGAAGCAGCAGTTCTGCTTTTGCTGATGCCATTCTCATTGTTCAGGCGGAGCTGCGCAACAGGATTACATCCATTGTGTCATTGTGTCTGTAAGCCTTTATAGTGCCTTTATAAAGTTATGCACAAGTTTCCATTGACCATGAAGAAAAAGCAGAACATAAAATAAATCACTGCCCTACTGTGACATGAGCAATGTCAACTGTTACTGTTTTTCTAGAGGCCTCAGTATAGAGCTTTATTCCACAGGGACCCTAAGTAGCCATTACCTTTGGGATTTCATTTAAAGGCCTCCATTTAGGTTTTTTCAGCACTTCTAGAAAGGGCTTTCTGTTTCTCCAGGCTCACAAATCTATGCAATATTAAATGCACTCTGGTGGGCAAAGTGTGTGCAAGTATGTTTTAAACCACACTTGTGAAAGGACCCTTAATGGGTAGGCTTAGCTTGCACCCTACCCCATCCTTGACAAAAAGACATATGCATACCCAAAGGTAGTGACGGGCCTTAAACATGATTGTGATTGGATGCACCAATTCTTGAGATGGGAGCTGTGAATGCACACCACATTTTAGTCTGTACTTTGAACTGTCCATGGTGCTGATGTCTGTCACCTCGATAGATTCAGCATCCTGTATACCTTTTATAAAGTACAGATTAAAACACTGGCTGAATTCATGCTCTTCCCCTTTCCTGAAAGTGGAGCCTCACACTACTATTCCTTCGAAGGAAACTGCTGCATGTGCTGTTGCCCATTTCCGGTGAGTGACCCTTGTTGTCTAGGGGTTGTCTCCCTTCTCTGCCTGGACTGTCCAGAGGACCCGCCCACAGTTGCAGTTTAAGCTGATATACATATTTGAAGATGAGTTTAACACATAGATGGGAAATGGTAGGTTTTTGGGGTGGCTACTCCAACAATTCTATCGCCACTGACTGGCCCGAACACTTCAGATTGGAGATTTGGCATGGTATGATTGGATGGATAGATGGATGGATGGATGGATGGATGGATGGATGGATTTCATTGCAAACATGTTCTGACCACATGTGTACAGAAATCTGGATGCCGGGTAAGCATTCCCTAATTTGGGCTTATGCGGTTGATGAACTCTAGCTGGTTTTGAAAGTGTAGGTGGAGAAAGCATGATGGTCCTCTATGATCCATGAACATGGTCCATTGAGTGAGTCCTAAACCACCCACCAAGAATTTGATAAGGGCTCCAGTTTTTTTAGTTCTTACAAGCTGAATCAGGATTTATGGAGCCCATTGTGGACCATAATAAAAGGCCTTGCAGGCTGTTTTACTCCCAAAGTGCTGCAAGTTGATCATTCTTTGATTTATGGCTTTTAATGTTGATCTGCTAGGAGACTCTCTTTAAACAAGAGAGGCTGGGCCATTTTGCTGTACTTGAAAGCCAGTGAGTTGAAAAAGAACTGTATACAAGCAGCTTTTTGTTTTTTAAGAGGCCCCATAAAGAACAGGGCCAAGTGACTGCTTTATGATTTGGGGATGTAAAGTTGTCACTGAGTAAAGAGGTTGCAGGAGCTTTATGAC